AGTTTTGATGCAAAAACGCATGATCGCACCGGCTCGCCTGGTGCGTTCCAGCCTTTGTTGTATTTGGAGGGACCGATGGAAACTATTTGGAAATTGTTATGGAATCGAACATAGGATGTTTGCCGGGCATAACATTTTTTCCCACTCAGATTCGCATATCGATCGGAAGGGAAGTAGGGCAAGGTGCCCCTATATCGCTCAGTTTTTTCGCAGCTTGCCTCGAAATAATATTCCGGAAACTGAATTAGAAGGGTGACTCGAAAATTAACGGCGAGTAACCGAACTATTTATGCTTCCCGCATGACATAGTTCTCGTGACCAAAAATCTCCAAGAAATAAAGTAAATGCTGTAAGAGCTAGAATCACAGAGTAAGGAGGTGAGCGTGAAAATCAGTGCAAAGAAAACGGAAGCGATGCAGATCTTGGTGTGCTCGTGGCTTAATTACAACCATTCGGCATGGACTTGCAAGAAGCTGACGGCTGTGCCTATCTCGGGCACGAAATGAATGTGGGACACAATCTTCAGCCGGAGATTGTACGTCGAAGGGCTGCCAGTTGGCTCAAATTCCACAGCAACGCCGTTATATTCAAAGCATCGAACCGGCAGGACTGTAGTCACCTCCTCAAAACCGCTGTATTGAAGACTGTGATATGCGGATGCGAAATGTGGCTACTTACGAAAGCCGAAGAGCGACTGCTGGCAGTGACGGAAAAAGTGATGAGTGAAAGGATGCTAGGTTTTCTCTCCGCTATGATATAAACAGTCAGGCCCTTCGTTAGATGAACGGCGTGCAGAATGTCATTGCAATCACGCGAAAAAGTAATATCTGGTGGACAGAACAGGTTGATCGCCTTGCCGACAGACCGTGGAAAAAACGCATTAGTGAGTAGTGTCCGAGTAAAAGTGGGCAACCACTCGTGCAGCCTCCAAAGAGATGGCATAGAATAAGCGGCTATTACTACCTGTAGGCAGTGCAGCCCAGGACTAAAGGGCCTAGCATAGTTGTGCTCGGCGTGTGGGAGCATCCTAGTAACTTTATTAACAAGGAATACCCACAACGATGGCCCGAGCACTCCTAGTATTCCTGATACAAGTAGAGAAGTCGTGATTCTGAGACTGTTATTTTTCTGGATATTAGGGCGGGAGCCGTTTTCAGACGTCTGTGCCGGATAAGCGCCGTTCATTTCCGACTGGAACCGAATTTTCGGTGCAGCATCGCCATGACGCTGCTGACTATGAGCAACCGATCAGTACGCGGCAGCTGACACAATACGATACAACCGATCGAGCGCTTGCTAAAACACGGTGATTTTTATACTTAAAGTTGTACGATCCCAAGATTTTCTAGTCTAAAACATTCGTTCCACTGAAAGGATCAAATTAGTACTTATCAGTGCAAAAGTACTAATGTACACTAAGCACAAAATGCTATTGGAATATCACCGATTTTATAAAAAATGGAGTGCACGCTCATTCTTAAGCTGATATGTCTTTTTTGTGGCTGAGTGCTGTTTGTTCAGATCGCATCTTTGTAAGAATTAGCATCGGGTGGGAAATAATTCTTGGTACATCAAAGGGTACTAGCTGTAGCCCAACTCACTTGTGTGAGTGTGTGTGTTTGTTTGTGTGTATATGTTTGTGTGCGTGTTTGTGCTCAGGATGCGCTTATCCGGGATTTTTTCATAGAAACCAGAAAAGTTAGGAAGCTGAAGTTTTAGAAGTATGTTTCACGCACACGTGACTTCGCAAAATTTTTGCATTTCGCCTATAGATATGCAAAAATTTTGGCAAGAAAATCACTAAGTCAGGAGTAACAAAATTTGGGAAGATAAAATTTTGGAAGATGTTCAGCACCTATGTGTGATCAAACGATTAGAAATTCAGATCTCTTGTACAAGTAGGCCTTATGCGCGGTCGCAAGGAAGTTTTGGCCGGGAAAGTTACAAACTCGTGAACTAGAAAAACTAGGAAGCTGAAGTTTTTGGAGGAAATTACATGCCCATTTGCGTTCGGAAATTTTAATTATAGTCATTACGTACTCCTAAGCTCCTCCCTCTCCCGGGCACTTGAATGTTCCGGCAAGAAATTTTCTAACTCCGAAACTAGACCAAGACGGAAAGATGAAATTTCAAATGAATGTTTCATCTTCTTACGCAATTTTTAAAATTTTACGATTCAGCTACTAAGTACCTTGCGTTTGCACACGAACACGGGCGAGAAATTTTCCAGTCCCAAATCCGAAAGAGACAAAAGTTACGGAACTTTAG